ACTCAGGCTGAAGATGGTTGCAGACCTATTGTTAGTCACATAGATTCAGAATCACAAACAACTTATTGGTCTGACACGTACACGTGGTCTGTGAAACGTATGTACAGACAATTAACAAAATGATGTGAAATGGTATTGCGACTTACAAATAATAGACTTAAAAATCATCAAAAGCATGTACCCGTGAAACATTCGTGCAAAAGGTGCTGCATCGATGGAGCAAAGTGTTAAGATTAAAGATTAAGTCAGTTTTGGACAGTGAAGCCATGTTTAGTAATGCGTATGACCACCATGAGCACAAATGCAAGCTTCTACTCGACATTGACAAAATGAGCCTGTGAAGTTGCTGTTGTGGAATGTTCTGCCATTCTCTCTGTAATGCCTGCTCAAGTTATTCCAGAGTGCGGGGGCGAACATGGAGACCATATACACGACTCCCAATAATGTGCCAAGCATGTTCAACTGGATTAAGTTCAGGTGACCTTGCAGACCAGTCCATATGTGTGACGGTGTTGACCTAAACAACATCATTAACATCTCTTTCTCGATGTGGACGGGCATTATCATCCATAAAAATGAAGTTAGGCCCTGCTTGTTGTGCCAGAGGAATGACTACAGGTAGGTGTTAACTGATCAGAGTGCATGTGTGAAGTATGGGGCATGTCATGCCCTACATTTTGCATGTTGTTTCTGAGGGTGCTTGTGTTCGGGTGATGTTATCAATGTTATCAGATAAATCAATCTGACAGTCCCTAAAGGTTATGTATTCGTTGAATCTTTACCTTTCAGTAACATGCCGGCAAAATCGCTATAGAGACTGATAAAGACATTACACTGAAAATACTTGTTGCTTAATTTTTTGTGAGGAGTATATTAATGCACACTCCAACTTACGTCACCTACAAAGGATTTGTCCAGATTTTACACAGATTTTCGACTACAAAGAAGATGATGTCCTTCCAGAAAGATTCTATTTGAAGCCACTACATTTGAAATTGATGAAGGAATTTTATACAGATTTGTCCCACACTGAGATGGAAGGGTCAAGCTGACAAATTCATTAAACAGCTGGCAGTTCCAAGAACTCTCACGAATCAAGTCTTGAGATGCTACCATGATTCCAAGTTTCGCGGTTGCCACCATGGAAAGGTTAGGATGCACAACACTGTGAGACCAAAATACTACTGGTCAAATATCTACAGCTATATTGCAACTTATGTCGAGACATGTGAGGGGGTATGTCAACAGACGAAGAGGCATTACCTCAGCAAAAAGGCACCCCTATGTCCCTACCTGTGGAATAGGTCTTCACCCAGTAGCATGTTGACATTCTTGGTCCCTTGCCAACACCAGATAAGTACAAGCACACATTTTGGTCATCACCGATGCATCATCTAGATGGTGTGAAGCCTTTCCCCTGAGAACCCAAGAAGCCACAGAGGTAGCAGATGTTCTTGTGAGAGAAATATTTTGTCGGTATGGCGCTCCAAGGACCTTAATTTCAGACAGAGGTCAGAACTTCATGTCAAAATGAATGAAGGCTATTTGTGAACTTTTGGCTATCAAATTCACTCATACTAACCCATACCATCCCTAAACAAATAGCTGTGTGGAAAGGCTCAATTCCTACATCAATTAATCACTAAAAGCCTATTGTAACAAAACTCAAAATGATTGGCCCCGGTTTCTTCCACGCATCATGATGGCCTATCAGATGGCCTCAAATTCATCAACTCAAAAGTCCCCTTTATAATTATTATTATTATTAATATTATAGGATATTTATATAGCGCACATATCCACACACTAGAGGTTTATTCAGAACAATACAATTGCATGGCCGGATCCAGGAATTTTGAAAGGAGGGGGTTCAGGGGGTTCAAACCCGCTGAACCCCCACATGAATCCGCCAATGCATAAAACGAATCTTCAATGTGATCTTAAGTCTTTTTTTGTCTTTTTTGGGGGTGGGGGGTGGGGAAGAAGAGAATGTGTGTGTGTGTGTTGTGGGGTTTTTATAACCCACCCTCTGGATCCGCCAATGAGTTGTACAGCTAGCGAGCCAGATATTTCCCCAGGTCAAAGATATTGGCGATACTGTAAAAGAGTGGAAAAAGGCCTTTGCAACGAATTAACTAAAAAGTGGTATGGCGGTTACTACATCATTCATTCAGGTCCGAATTTCACCTACAGACTATGCCGAAGTTCTGACAATAAATTACACAAACCCCTGGTCCATGCCAACCGCCTGAAGCCATATTTTGGTTCAGCTGATCGTCCACAGCATCCAACAGAACCATACCTCAACAACAACAACAACAACAACATGGATTCAGGGGTCATAGATGACAATTAGGAACAAGTCAACGACCCACACCTTGACAGCAACAATGCTCAGGCAACAAGTTCAACCAATGACCAATCACCAGTCCAACAAAAAGGTAGGAAAGTCAATTAAAAAACTAAGGCATGCAATCCAAGGCCTCCAACCAAAAAGAAGTGCAGTGCAGCAGGACTTAGTACAACAGTTACAAACCAGAAACAGAACACCCCAGGTCCAAGTAATCCCACCAAGGAGAAAAGAAATACAAACAGGGGAAAAAGAGGATTAAACAGTAAGCATCATCAGATTCAGATTAAGTTTATTCGGTAATTCTGGACTTAAGGCCTACATTACAATTGTTGATGTTACAAAATACTATGCAAGTCATGTGAATATATGGTCACATTCATGGTTACATTTATGGCTACGCACAGTGAAAACATGTTTGAGATACATTGCAACAGACTTAAAGGTCATAATATTCTTAGAATTTAACAACTTTGACAGTGAATGTTTGTCTAATACAGTGTTTGAAAGAAATGGCATATACTTTTTTCGCAAATTTAGATACTTGGTGCATACAAACATGACATGGAACTCATCCTCTATATCGCCTGTAGTACAATTAGAACAGATGAAAACATTTTTACATTCTGTAGAAATACCATGTTTACGTGCCCTATTTAAACAGAAATCATGAAAACCAATCCTTAATTTACATAAAGCTCTTATCAAAGATTTATCATGAAAATTTAAGATATACGATTCTGGTTCTAGCAATGACTTATGAGAGGCATAATATTCTAAATATCTAGAACTTAATGGATATAGACCACTCTTGAATGAAAATTTCACATAGGTGCTGTTTGAAAAGAGATATAAATCAGTCTTCATTGCCAACCCCTTGGGCAAGCCATACATAGGAAAATCCAGTAGAAAAGAGTAATAGTCTAACATTAGACACCCAGTTAACTTTACCAATATCATCTTGTGATTTCCCCCAAAAATGACACTGTTTAGGGTACCTTTAAGTAATGCATTTTTAACAACTTTAAGCAACTGTTCTTATTCTGCTGAAAACAAACATATTACATCTACCAGTTTCTCCAAATATAGCCTTATTAGGGGCAAATTTACCTAGATTTAGAAACTGTTTAAAAAATGTAGTTTGTACCTTTTCTGTACAATGAAAATAAGTCATACCCCAAATTTATGATCCATATAAAAGAATAGGCATTATTTTACAATCAAAGATGGTACAAGCATTTTGGAAAGTAATAAAAGAGTTAGTTTTGAATAAATTATAAACAGAGTAGGTGCTTAGATGCTTGTGTTGCCAAACTTTTACACGCTGTTGACCAATTTAACCTTGAGGAAAATATCAAGCCCAGGTATTTATAATATGAAGCACAGAGCCAATACAAGCTAGATTCCACATACAGACACCCTGATGACAGCAGAAAGAACCTGTGCCCCTATTCTAGAGAGACAATTATATATTTAATTATCATTTACCATTCTACCAGTTCAATATGATTGTTGATTAACTAAAAGTTTGTACATTGTCCATCCAAGAAATTATTTTCCAAGCTTGGGGACCAAACTTTTTCAGACAGAGGGGAAGTTTTCATGGAAAAAATTTCATACGAAAGTTAATTATTAATTATTACCACTACAAGCGATATATATTAGGATTCAGATATTAGGAAAATATAAATATAGATTATTAGTGTCATCATGATCAGTAATAGCTTAGAGAAAGACTCCCGTCAAAAGTAATAAAACTCATCTCACAGACATACTATTGAAAAAGGTATAAGTTATGACTGCACAATTTCACAGATGTTTCTAGTTAAATCCTAGACTAAGGTAATAAGGGCTCAACCCCTAGACACATCAATTTAGGCTTGTTAAGATCTAGCCCAGAGTACGTATCCAAGCATCCAGTAAATGTGTCAACAAGATTAGTGCCAGTTGAATTAGAATTGCTGGGATGCTTACTCCCCACTGTCTGGTCATTTCATTGGTTATTATAGGGCACACCCATTTTGTATAATCAACAACCCATAATCCTTGATTCTGGTATAAATTACTGCATACATTGCTTGTGCAAGCATTGGTGCAGAAACACAACTTTCCAAGGGAAACCTAGAGCAAGGTATACTGAATATGTTTGATTGTACTTTCTTTAGCATTAAATGCTGAAACTTTATTACATGAACATCCTTTTAAGTGTGTGAATGTAACACATGTTCTGCTGAATAACAAATAAAGATCCAGTCATTTTATCTATCATATATGTCCTATTTTTAGGATTGTAAAGTATCGGGATAAGTATCGTATCGCCATCACTGTATGATAATCGTCTCGCAGGTTCCTTGCCAATACTTTCATGATATATCGTCTCGCCTCATTAAACTAGTATCGGGATATGTCGTCTCGCCCCTTAGGCCACGATACACAGCTTTAATATGTGTCTAGGTGCACCAAAGGCCAATAACACACAATCACACCTAAACAACAACAAAATATGTTCTACATATCTGACAATGTATTGACATAATGAAGATTCTGAAGCTGTGACCTTCACCTGACCTGGTCAGCCTGCACAACTAGTAAGTCAGGAAATACATACATCCATACAGTATAGTTCTCCATTTAACCGTCATTAACCATTAAATATTTCCTTTAAACTCTTTATACAACTGTAATCATGTTGTTTTTGAAAAATAAATGAGTTCTAAATCACACAGACGTAAAAGTATCAAGGCTGATCATCCTTACAAAACTGACACAAGACATTGCTGAAGGTTCCGGGCTACATAACAGAGCAGACATTGGACTTCTTGTTCCTTCGCACTACCTCCAACATCTGCTTCTGTAGGTCCTGCAGCTCATTTGTCTTCTCCATCAGCTTCACCATGACTTCTTCCCGGCCTTCCTGAGACTTCTCCCTTTTCTGTGGAGTTAAGTATCATGGAATAATAATTCATGCAAAATTCATTATTCATTATTACCACTACAAGCAATATATTAGGATTCAGATATTAGGAAAATATAAAAATAGAATATTAGTAATAGCTTAGAGAAAGACTCCAGTCAAAAGTTGTAAAACTCATCTCACAGACATATTATTGAAAAAGGCATAAATTACGGCTACACAATTTCACAGATATTCAAGATAAAATCCTAGCCTAAGGTATTGAGGACTCAAGCTGTTAGCAATCCTTTCAGTAATTCAGAGTTATGACCAGACGATTAAATACATCTATTGTAATCCAAGCACCTGTAATTGACACATCAGATTAGGCTCGTTAAGATCTAGCCCAGGGTAAGCATCCAGTAAAAGTGCCATCGAGATTAGTGCCAGTTAAAATAGGATTAACAGGATTAAGAGTAATTGCCCTGTCTGGTCATTGAAGGACACACCCCATTTTGTATATTCTGTATTTGATAGGCTAATGTAGGTTACACCCATTTTTGTATCAGTGAACCAATCGTAATCTCTTTATTGTTTTAATTGTAGATAAAATGTCTCTAACTGCATTTGTCCATCAGTAGGGTTTAGACTCCCAACACAGGTCAGCTCTAGCCCTCAGCCCAGAGGGTTGTACCGACTCTCTGTGGCCACCCCAAGTTACTCCGTTCTTGTAAATAAAAGTGTGATTAGCTTCTTGTGACTTCGGACTCTTTTGCTGAGTTAATTCCCCCAAGCAGACCAGCACGCCAGTTAGATAAGGGGTTTCACCGGAACCATCACTGGGACCCAAGACCCTTATCATAATATAAGTCAGACAGATGAACACGGAAGAACAAACCTTGTTCTGGAATACATGTAGTAAGGGACAGTCTTGAAAGGGACTAGACTGAATTACACAGCAAACTATAGAAACAATTCTTCAATGCTCGTAATCATCACTATGCGATCTCTGTAATCTTATTCAAAGGGAGATAATTCCACTTCATTGTATAACCATTATAAAGAAAGTCATGTAAAGACAGTGATGAGATCACATGCCTGATATTCATGGCGTTAGTACTAACACAGAAACATTAAATCTGAATTATCTCCCTTGTTTATAACATGTACCACCTTCTAAATGCCTTGACACAAGTTTGTTCACTCTTCTGTGATCTACAGTGATATGAGGGCTGGTCAAAAAGTTCTCAGCCTAACACAGACAACCAACGATTTGGTCAGATTTTAATATTTTATTTTTCCACATAATCACCCTTGATTGCAATGCACTTCTCGGTGTTTCAGTTGCTCAATTCCATGTGAGTAGAACTCTTCTGGAAGTCCTGTCAAATAGTCGTTTACAGCAGATTTGAGCTCGTCATTACCGGCATAGCGTTTTCGACGGAGATGTTCCTTCAATTTTGGAAATAGGTGAAAGTCGCTTGGGGCCAGGTCAGGTGAATATGGAGGATGAGGAAGTTCTTCGAAGCCACATTGATGTACTGCAGACTTTGCCAATCGAGAGGTGTGAGACGAAGCATTGTCATGTAAAATCAGAACTCCATCCCTCAACAAACCACGGCGCTTTTCTTTGATAGATGCTCTCAATCTGTGGAGTAGATCAGCGTAGTAGGCACCAGTGATAGTCTTTTGACTCTCCAGGTAGTCAACATGGATGATGCCCTTCGCATCCCAGAACACTGTGGCCACAACTTTCTTCACTGACCTTGAAGACTTGAACTTCTTGGGTGGAGGAGAAGTGGGGTGGTGCCACTCTATGGATTGACGTTTTGACTCCGGATCGTAATGATAAATCCATGTTTCATCCCCTGTTACTAATCTACTTTTAAAATTTTCAAAATCATGCTCCATGCTCATGTGTCAAAATCTTGGTAACAGCACAGTGTTCCATCTCTCACGTTGAAGGAGATATGTATACCCCAGTCGGCTTCAAGGACCTGTTGCTTTCGAACTAGTTGATCTATTTGAGTAAAATGACTGGAAATGCTGATGAAGAACACTGTCCAACAACACTCCTAAGATTAGTTGGTGTCACCAGTCTAGAAGTTATGTAGGCTTAGAACTTTTTGACCAGCCCTCGTATTGTGATAGGTGATCGTATAAAAACTGACAAGAAGTAGTAAATTTGGCCTCATCCCAACCGTATTGCCCATCATGGTTTTACATCCAATATATATATGAACCACCTGGCCTCGTATTCACATCAACTGAAATAACCAACTTGATATATCTGGAGTTGACAGCATACCAACATTTTGTTTGACTGGTCTATATGATCACTTCATGTTACCACTCAGTATGACCCCTCTACATGGCCACCCAATATGGGACCCATGAAGATCCGGGTTAGAATTGATCTTCAGTAACCCATGCTTGTCATCAGAGGCGACTAACGGGATCGGGTGGTCAGGCTCGCTGACTTGGTTGACACCTGTCATCGTATCCCAATGGCATAGATTGATGCCCGTGCTGTTGATCACTGGATTGTGTGGTCAAGACTCGATTATTTGCAGACCATCGCCATATAGCTGGAATACTGCTGAGCACAGCATAAAACTAAACTCACTCATTCACTCCATATGGCCACTCCATTTGGCCAGTCAGTATAGCTGATCTACATGACCACTCAATATTGCTGCTCCACTTGGTCACTCAGTATGACCACTCCATATGACCACTTTGCAGAGCTACAGATTTTTAGGTAATTGAGCTATGTACTCGCTTGTGTTCATCTCAATTGGGTATCCTAATTTTCCTTTGAGTAACCAAATTAATTTTCCATTAATTTTAAAAATCTATTTCTAAAGAAGTTTAATATTAGTGTTTGTTATTTATATTTGATCTGTCATATGAGAAATGATAAGAAAGACTGCAAGTTGTCAAGTTCATGTCCTGAAATAGAACCTCTCAATATACCTCAGTTATTTTATCTATCAACCGCTATGATTTGACATTTAGTGTGTACGCATGTAACATTGTAAGATATTGAGTATTTACAAAATTCAAGCGTACTTGTACGCAATAGACTTAATAGGAATTGAGTTTTGACATCAATATTGCGTTATTTACACAGATACGCAGCTTATCTGTACCTCTGACTTCATATGAAGACTCCATCAGACCACTGCACATGCCGACTCCATATGACGACTTGCACATGACCAATGCATATGACAACCCAATATGGTCATAACGGATACATACACAATTGGAAATAGAATGTTATGATAAGAATCATGCTGTTTTCAAAATATCAATACAGTATGTCATCGTATCATAGAAAAAAACATATATCTGGCATGATATAATACCATATCTTTAAATTACGCATGACCATCACCTGTCTCTCCCAGTCTCGTACTTCCCGGGCTTTCAGCATCTGAATACTGCCATCCCGACGCAGAAAGGCCTCACCATGGTACAGGTACAGCTCACCATGATCATCTGGGTCCTTCACCTTCACCTCTAGGACCTTTAAATTCGCTGCAACACAGATCACATCTAAGATCGGTTCTGACAGTCAGTTCTAATTGTCATTTAATCATGATTTAGTAGTCACAGATATGCAAATGCGAAAGCATTAAGGTGCAAGATGTGAGGTGAGGTGAGATGGGGTTTAACATCCTACTTTAGAATATTTTGCTCGTTTAAGGTGCTTAGATCATTTAGTATATCCTAATCCGATTACTTTGACATAGATGTTAGTATCAAACAAGTGTAAATGTGAGCACTGCTCACATACCCCTGCTTCCCACTCTGGTACTTGGAAATGGCTGATATTGGTAAATACAATGTGACTAGAATGTATAGCTTCAGAGATACGCTCTGGACAAGATAACCATCAAACACATTTTGCACCAAGTCCTGTTTCCATAGAAAATATAAAATTCTGATAAACTTCAATATAGCAAAAGGCATCAATGGTTAATGATCAACATGTGTGTGAAGTTTGGCTAACCTTGCATGTAAACTTTAAGAGATACACTCCGGTCAAAGTTTCTAAGAACTGAGGTTTATATAGTGAAAGAAAACAAAAAAGGGAATGCCACTTCATGGCAGTGCTCCTCTATTTGTTTCTCACATTTTCTCCCACAGTGATATTCAAAGCTAGTGATGAAAACTGGAAAATATTAAAGGAACACTTGAATTTTCATGTGATCCTTCATTTGTTTCTCTCAGTATATCATCAAACATATATTTATTACATCAACATACTTTACTTGCATATGTTACAGAGATTGAAAGTATGTAGCTTTGTGATACGTTGCATTTCAATACGAAGTAGCCCTGCAAGGTTTATTTCTTCATACATAACTGTTATGTCATAACAGACGTAACTCATTGTAAATTGTTGTTGTTTCATGCACTCAGCAACATCCCAGTTATATACCAGCAGTCTAAATAATCTAGACCAGACTATCCAGTGATAAACATTATGAGCATCAATCTATGCATGGGTTGCTGAAGACCAATTCTAACTCGGATCTTCATTGTAAGTTATCTCATTTCAAAATGCCGCAAGACAATGACTGTGAATAGAAAGAAATAGCTTTTACTAGATAATAGCACCTGCAGTGTTCCAGATGTAAAATCAGCTGTTTACATCAGAGGTGGTTATGATGATTTGAAACCTCTGATGGACCAATCAGAATCAGAAGGGAGAGGTGGGATTTTAGATATTCATCCATCAAGGGTATGGATGTATAATACACAATTAATAACAAAAAATGTTTTCACAAAACATGTGAAAGACATGCAGAGAGGACCATGCACCTATTCAATCATTCTCACTATCACTAAACTAAGATCTCAGGGCATTCCATCACAGAACCTTTCTTCCAGTCAATCAGAGTGTTGATAACTATATTAAGTAAGTGACAGAATGTGTTTACTATTCATGCAACCTCAAAATGGTTAATATGGAGTATTCTGAATGACAGTTACAAGCTATATGAGATTCCATCAAACTATTCGTCTATTACTTGCTTCAGTGGGATAAACAATGGATATGGAAGAGACATTTCCTCTGGTATGTACTGCCACACAATCTAGGCTATGTATTAGACATGCTAACATTTTCTACTGATCAGATTGAAACTTCTAAAGCATAGTCTGGAATGGAAGTGATCAGTCTTAACTACTGCTTGACAAATCTGCTTTCTGATCAGTCAATGTCGACTTCCTGTCAGTCAAAATTTAAGGTCCTGTAATAGGATCTTCTTAGATCTTTGCTAAGAGGTAATTGAGAACAAAGATATGAGTTAAATTAGAATGACTATTTAGCATGTCCAAGATTAGTAGTGTCATGTTTTCTATGTTGTCTGTAGCACAATCTGGTGTTGTAACATCATAACAAACATTCAGCTGTTCAAAATTTCAAATTACATATAAAACATTCTCTCATGTATTTTATATGTTTTAGCATTCCATACACAGGTTGGCAAACTGACTCACAGGAGAAAGAGTTGGCTTTATCCAGGACTGGTACAAAGTCGACAGTGTACAGGTTGGGTAGCAATGTTGGACTTATGGACTTGATGGCATGATCTATGGACAGTCGGTGTTTGTCCTCATCTTGCTGGTTGCACACAACACCAACTACATAGCCTGTGGACAATAACATCACATGAGCACAACACAACCACATTTTGGCCTTAATAAATGATATTTTCAATATGGCCGTATGGCCAGCCATGTCTAACACAACACTCAGTATCATGTTTCAAACAAGTAAAGATGCACACTTTTATGACAGAGACATTAACCAAGGTTTAGATATTGCTATTTATCTGTTAACAAAATGCCAACTGCCAAAAAAAATATTAAAACATTTGACTTTGGTGAAAACACACATTTTCTTTGTTTCTAATGTCCTTGAAGATTCACCTACCATCATTGTCTACACCGATGAACAATGTCCCACCATTTGTGTTGAGAAATCCACATACATACTTCCCAATAGTTTCCTGTAAAATGTGTTCACTTGCAACAAACCCTCCCTGTTTGAACTCAGCAGTCCGAGTCTCATTGCCTAAAGTTTCCCGGTAATGATAGAAACGCTTTGGTGCATTGGGACCCAGTCCACTGACTGATGTAGCCATGGACACCTGAACACTTTCAAGTGGTGGTAAGACTGGTTTTGATGTTTGTTTCGCCAGACCCTTGGTTGAAGTCTGTGCATGATTGCCCTGATGAGTCGGACTTGAGAATGGAAGTTTCTTGACCTTATCAGCCAATGAGAACTGTGGTTCGGTGCCACTGTAAGCACCATTGTGACTGCGGTCAACTATTCGCCGTGGGGGTTGTTTTGGTGGTTTCTTCTTCTCAACCTTGAGATGCTTGTATGGGTCTTGTATTGAGGTGAAGTGAAAATTGACACCTGCTCGGTTAGTCTCAGAACTCAAGCGATGAAGAACGTACTTCACTGTGTCAACATGTTGCAGATCAACAAATGCATAGCAGTAGTCTGTTTTCTTGTTGTTGATGACGTCTATATGGAGTCTTCTGATGTCGAGGGAGCGGCCGACGCCGAGGCCGAGGCATGTGAACAAGATGGTTAGGTTACCTTTCAACTCATGAGGTGGCAGGTCTCTCCTTAACCCTCCGACAAAAATACATGTGTCATCATTGTCAACTAGCAAGGACATGGCCAGCTACCTGAAGTAACAGAGAACTATCAGTACATGACAAACAAGACCTAGTTCATGTGCAAAGTCATCTAGCTCTATGCTGGACTATCATGGGAAAGATTTCTGCCCATAACCCCCATTTGCTATCATTCTATGCTTAAGAACAGATTGTTTTTATAGAAAGCCTGCCTTACCCTAAACATAACCCTATACCCTCACCCCTCTATGTAAACATAACAAGAAGACAAAGTTATGAATATCCCCCTCAACGGCAAAATAACCTTTATGAATATGTCTACTAGTTATATTTATGTCAAATGTTTTGGAGTGTATACAGCAAAGTGGAAGGAGAGTATTGAAAGGTTTTTTAGATCTGTTCCAGAAAGGAGCACTACCAGTTGAAACCTAACTTGTTGCCATGGAAATGCAACAAGATGACATCCTCATAGTCACAGCCTAAGTCACGTTTCCATGGAAACCACAAAAAATAAAATTCATATCTGGGTCTAAACCCCAAAAGGCACATCTTAGGATCATGCTTGACATATGTACCAAGTTTGATGAAGCTAGCATGTATAGTTTGGGAGATCTGCACCGGACAAGATGACATCCTCATAGTCACAGCTTAAGTCACGTTTCCATGGAAACCACAAAAAATAAAATTCATATCTGGGTCTAAACCCCAAAAGGCACATCTTAGGATCATGCTTGACATATGTACCAAGTTTGATGAAGCTAGCATGTATAGTTTGGGAGATCTGCACCGGACAAGATGACATCCTCATAGACACAGCCTAAGTCATGTTTCCATGGAAACCGAAAAACAACATTCGCATCTGGGCCTAACCCCACAAAAGGCACATGTAGGGATTATGGATGACATGTGTAGCAAGTTTTGGTTAAGCTATCACGGATAGTTTAGGAGATATGCTTCGGACAACGTGTGACGGACGCACGGACGGACGGAACTCGTTTCTATATCGCCCGCAACTTCGTTGTTGCGGGGGGATAATAAATAGAATACATTTCAAGCGGGGGTTACGGGCGGAGCTCTTACCAACAAAATCTCTGTACGTAGACTGCCGTTTCTTATGAATGAAGATATATGGCGACTGAAAAGCGAGTTGCCACGTTAATAATTTATGCATTTCCAAGAATACGTAGGATATACCAGGAATATGGTACCAATGCTCAAGGTAAGGGCGGATAACTCATCCCGACCTCAGTCAGTGAGGGCTGAAACCCAGGTCATGAGGGTACCCTCAGTTTACGTTGATTTGAAGCAAATTCCATCTACAATGATGGGAAATAGTATGTGCACTACAGGCTGTGGTAAATGGAAGATGTGTAATAACTATATTTAGAGCTAGACTTGGTTTAATAGTTTTGTTATGATGAAATATGTTTTTGAAAATTTGATTTTGTGGGGAAAATGTCTTATTACTCTAATGAAACTTTCTTATTTTAAAGAAAAAAGGAAATGCATAATAAATAATACCTTGCAACATATTACACAAAACAGGAAACTTGTACTCTCACTCACTGCATATGCAACTATTCAATACAAACACATCTTCCACTTAGTTCCTTCAACACTTCTCCTTTGAATTTGTGGTTGACATACTGAGTGCAAAGACATTAATGCATGTTTTGGGAGAATGTATTCCATATCGGGCTCTTTTTTCTCCACTATTTTTTTATTTATAAAATCACTATGAACACCCTTGACCTTAAATTTTGTTTCCACCAATCAGCATTGATAAGGACACATTTGTGATTTAAGGATTTCATTTTTTCCACCAAAAGTGAATATTTTATGTACGGTTGTCACTTTATCTGTTTTGTTTGTTTCTTTGGGTCCTGACGGTGCCATTTTTGTAGGATTTTTCACATGAGATGTATGGACAATAAAGATCAATAAAAAATAATTAAATTTTTATTGTGTTCATTAAAATTCTGGCAATCTGATTGGTTAACTGGGAACATTTCTTTTGATTTCATTTCCCAATGAATCTAAAAGAATAAGCCACGCCCACCGAACCGGACTACTTTCGGACCTGAGGAATGTCGGGGAATACCTTTACACAGCGAGGGAATTCCTTTGCACTCGGGTACCTTAATGAACTTTGGATAAACATTGAAGTGGTACATTGTGGTTAACATAAACAAACAACTGAAAATTATCCATGAACGTTAATAAAGTGTTTATTTAATAAAAAAGTGTTTGTCATAATACATTATTTGACTGGTTACAGTGGTTACCACGTGCAGTCAGCGAACAGTCGTCTGCAACTTGTCTTGTTTACATTCCAACAAGATGGCCGATTCCAAGTACGGAAGTTTTGATCTGGGCCCCGTTTCACAAAGCTCTCGTAAGCCTAAGATCTCGTAACTTTTCTCGTAGCAGTCGTATCTCATATGTTACAGTATAGGAGATACGACTGCTACGAGTAAAGTTACGAGATCTTAGGCCTACGAGAGCTTTGTGAAACGGGGCCCTGGGGAATAGACCGATCCAGTCCCGTCCGATAAGCCCCGCCCACTTCGTTTTTGACGTTAGTGGGGACAACCACGGACTAATCACAATGGCGTCACCGCCGGCGAAACGTACATGATTGAGAATGTTGTTGGTGAATTCTGTTTGTTGTACTTTGGTATCCGTCGTTTGTGAATGATATTTAAAAAGGAAAGTTACACGTATTTTATTTTCAATATATTTTAGTTGACAGGTTGTATACATTGGCGAGTGAAAATGTAGTTAGATCTACATGCCCGATGAAAAATCGTCTCAGCCAGCTACTGAGATTGGGAAGCGTATTTTCTACCAAATAATCTATCCGGCAATTCACGTACGTCTAAGATATTAGCAGGGGCAAGGTAACTGAATTATGTTGTTTTTTCTAAACAATTCCCATCGTAATATTATAAAAACCGTGAACACAACCACATGTTCAAGTTGCAGATCGTTTCGGTATCTATAAAAGATTGTCAAAACTGCGCATGCCACCTTTATTTATTTATCCGTTGTTCAAATTTAGTTAAATTAGAAGTTTGTGAAAACATTGGTTTCTACCTTTCAAGGAACAACGCAGGAAAACAGTATCCCGTCTTACTTCGTCCACCTTGTTTGTCTGTATCTATATATTATCTGGAAAACGTTACTGGACCTGTTGACACAGTATGTTTCCATGGATGTATCAGGACATACCCAGAAGCAAATATTCAGCAGCTAATCTGCAGCTATTCTTAGTAAAATTTCTCTCTTCAAAATCTGTACACCATCCTAAAATGACATTGAATATAAGGAAATCCATTTTTTAATAATCCTTTCCAATTTATTTTTCTATGTGTACTTTCTTGTGGAATCCTAATCTACAAACCTCCACTATACTGGACTTCATGAACTGCCAGCATTTATCTACAGGTATGTCACACCACCATAAACACAAAGAATCCAAGATACAGTCTGCGCCTGTACACTGACACATCTTCCATAAATAGGAAACATGTGATGCAAAATCTTTGAACAGAGGATCCACAGTTATCCGACCAATTAACTAGCATTGAAATAAAATGTTACACAACATACAAATATACTGCTTTTTCTTCAGATATATTGAACTGCTAACTACTAATGTAAATAAGAGGCAAAGAATATATTCAAAGTTTAAAGCTTTTTGTCAATAAAATTACATATTGACATTATTGCTTCTTAAACAATGATAATCTTATAGATCTGAGACCATATCCCTTAGGGACATAACACTAATTGTGATCTACATGTATTTCCTTTCCTGAGATACTTACTAGTGTCATCAAAATTATATTAAAGTTGCTTAAAATTTGGTAAAAGTCCTAACAAAGTTAAGGGAAAACATACTGTTCAGAAGGGATTCGCCAAAATGCATCCATGTTTGAAACTGTTCATGTACATATCATAACGTGACACCCAAACGCACCAAAAACGGCATGCATATCAAAAATGCACGGGATCCACATGGGATAGGACAGGGGACAAACACATGTGGTCAGTTAGTTTAGTTGGGTCTTAAAATCTCAAGGTGAAAACTTGTGTTGACAGTATCGTGATTGTCTTAGTTTCTTGAGCCCAATTGTTAGACATTCAGCATTTAGAAATTTAGTATTAAGACAATTAAACATTAGTTGAGCATATTTCAAACAGGCCTGAAATTTACTGCATTTTGTGAAGACATTTCTAGTTCAGTTTTCTGGGTCCCTTCAGTTCATTTAGTTGATTTTCAATGTAAATAATATTTACCATAATTTAGTTTTGGCCTAAGGTTGAAATACTACCTAAAGCCACCCAGTTTAATTTTACTTGCACATAGTTTTCTAGGACCCTTTCAGTTCGTTTAGTTTGGTGTGTTTCCTTTTAGTCTATTTTTTTCAATAAAGACTTCCACTGTGCATTCCTCCGCTACATTTTGGTAGCAGAGCGTGGTTTGAAACTCATTTTAGCCCATATATTTAGGTGTTTAGATCACATTGTACATTAGGTTGTGAAACAATATAGCAATGTCTTTAGTCAAAGAAGAAGTGCCAGTTAGTAAACTTGAATCTGATTCAAAGATAGCCGACCTTAAAAGAAAAAAAGGGGCTGCTAAAACGGCTTTAACGAAGGCAACAAACAAACTGTCAGATTTGTTGGAACAAGAGTATCCCAGTCGCAAGACTATTAGAGGAGCAATAGATCAGGTTTGTTCATTACAAAGTAAAGTCGTAAACATTATCTGTGACCTAGCACTTGTCTACCACTCAGCTGGAGATCTTGAAAACTGTAAGAAAACAAACAAAGAAATAGACACAATTGAGACGATTGATGAAGTGGTCACTAAAGCGCAAGTGTTTTTAAACAACACTTTTAGTTCTACTGCGTCGTCACACAGTGGCTATTCAGGTGTTGCAAACTTGTTCAAGGATAAAGCAGTTTCAAAGCAAGTGAAGCAAGGCAGTCAGTCTGTATTAAACAATGTAGATACTGCAAATGTAAAACCTACAAATGTAACTCACGAGAATACCTCTGCTCCTGTTCAATTAGACCAAGAAGTAGGTATTGGCAACAAGAGTCCACAGATTGGGCAGGACTTATGGCGTCAATTAAAGCGGGTTTCTATCCCGACTTTCTCAGGTAAGGTTCAGATGTATGACAGTTGGCGTGCTGCATTTATAGCATGTGTAGACAGTGCACCTGTCACAAATGAGTACAAACTCCTCCAATTAAAACAGTATTTGTCAGGTGAAGCA